ACCTGCACAAGGTTCGAGAGGAATTTTAGACCATTATTCATTACAGAACTACAGTACTTTGACTCAGGCATATTCTTAGGATGTCTTGGGTGAACAGCTCTCTTGACATCATTCCACAGCATCTGCATTGTGTTGAGGTCTGAGCTCTGACTGGGCCACTCTAAAAGGCAGATTTTGTGTCTCTAAAGCCATTCTGTAGTAGATTTACTTCGATGCTTAGGGTCATTGTCCTGCTGCATCAGCCAGCGTGATCTGATCTTCAGCTTGCCAACAGCTACCCTGACATTATCCTGTCATACCTTGATAAACTTGGGAATTAATGTTCCCCTCCACAATGGCAGGCAGTCCAGGTGCAGAGGCAGCAAAGCAGCCCCAAATCATGACGCTCACTCCACCGTACTTCACTGTTGGGATGATGTTTTCATGTTGGTATGTGGTTCTCTTTTTATGCCATATGTAGTGTTGCGTATTCATCCCAATGAACTCCATGTTTGTTTCATCTGTCCACAGAACATTTTCCCCATAAAGTTGTGGGGTGTCAAGGTGGTCATTGGCAAACTTCAGGCACACTGCAATGCTGTTTTTGGACAGCAAAGGCTTCCTCCATGGTGGCCTTGCTATTGATACAATGCCTGTTCAATATTTTGCATACGGTTGAACAGAGATGTTAATCAGCTCCAATGACTCTTTCAAGTCCTTTGTTGTTACTCTAGGGTGCTTTTTTTTTTTTTTTTTTTTTACTAAAAATGAGACTGTTAGGAATGAATATAAACATTGAACACGTTGGACAGCACATCTTAAGAACTACTTCTGAGAGTCCATAAGGTCAATTTATAGACAATATGGCTGACTGTGGACTGATGGATATCTAAAGTCTTTGGGATGTAACCCTTTCCAGCTACATGCAAATTTGCAACTCTTGATCATAGGTCTTCTGAGATCTCTTTTTTGCGAGGCCTGGCTCTCATCAACTGATGCTGCCGGTGAATAGCACACTGACACTGAGTGTTTTCATAAGTCAAGGTAGTTCTAAACCACACTTACATTCTTGTTTCATTGATTGGACTCCAGGTTTGCTAAGGCCTGACTCCAGTTGATGTTTAGTGACATCAGAAGCCTTGTCTTGGAATTACTATTCCACCTTTGTGTGTTTAATGGTTTTGACATTAAAGATCATGACTGTTTGTGTTTTATCTGTTTGTTGATATTTGTAACTTTGGTAAAGCTCAGATCACATTTCACGACTAATTTATGCAGAAAAAACAGAAATTACAAACAGTGCCATTATTTTTATTTTCAACTTGTATATTATGTATATGCAAGTGCTGGACAGTAAGCTGTTTATGTACGGGTTAGATTGTTACTATGTACTGTATATGCAGGCCTGTGATAAATATTAAATGACTAATAAATATTATGTGAAGAATAAGCCAATCTTTTAACTGAAATGGGTTTATGTGTATACAGTATATTGAGATTGTACATACAGTAAATACAGTCTGCTTCAATGGGTGTATGAGAATGATAGAAAACATTTGGATTTATTGATAAGTATAAATGCTTGATGTCACTGTGCACCAATGTTGAACACAGTGTAAACCACTCATACAACAAGTCCCCTGCAGCAGCAGCATTCAGCCTAAATATCTTATGAGCTTCTCCACTAAAACATGGGAGCAAATGGAGAGGCTAAGAGCTTTACACTAACATGCTCAAGATACCAAGTGTGTGCGTGTGTTAGGATTAACAAGCAGCACTCATGAAAAACCCAGGAGAATTCCACAAGGATAGAAATGCTTTTTGTAGAGAGTAATCAGATACATAGACAATACACCAAGTAAATATTAAGTTGGCTAATAAAAAGCGCTCAAAACACACACACACACACACACACACACACACACAAATGCTCAGGCTGACATAGACAAAGGAAAATAATTCCTGCCACACACATACATGCAACTCATACAACCCCCAGGACAGCAGACAGACACCCACACACAGAGGTCACAGGTTGTTGGAGTTTTGACTAGACTTTCCACTAGCAAGGCATCATGGGATTAGATCATATGTTTAACTGATTGTCTTTGGCCTTAAAAGCATTCACGCTCCCAGCTACCCCCACCCCGATTCACACAGTTTCAGTGACCTGTTTGAAAAGCTGTCACCAGACCAAGGATTTACTCACCAGTGTACGTTTAGGTTTTTTATTATTAGTTTTTTAAGTACTTTATTAGAGCATGGGGTGGGCTGTTTTGCGCTCTGGTGGGGTAGCTCATTGCTAGAGATGTGTGGTGTTGAGTGATAGCATACATAGTGGGTTTGTGCAGATGTTATAATGATCAAGTGTAACTTGAGAGTCTCATAAGAAGAGAGGACCCCAAAATTAAGTCTCCTGCAGTGCAGAATAATTGTTGGCATGTGAAGTAAAATTGTTTAAGCATGAAATATGCCTTATTGAGGAACTTATATGTATCAGTATAGTTTTCATGTGACTTCAGGTTTAAATGTCACATCGAATGACACTAGTGCCAGTTATTTATAATTCAAAAAACAAGAACAAAGAAAGTATCAACTCAAGATTTACTTACATTGTACATGTTTTCTTATGCTTTAAGATACATCTCACTGTCTACTTCAGCAACTTACTGACAAAAAGTAAATTTTTATTTGTTCAAGGACTGATATTTATTATTATGTATCCAAATCAAATCAAATTTTACTTGTATAGCGCCAAATCACAACAAAAGTAATCTCAGGACACTTTACAAAGTAAGGTCTAGACCTTACTGTTATCATTATTATTACAGAGGGAAAACCCAACAAATCCCCCTTGAGCATGCACTTGGTGACAGTGGGGAGGAAAAACTCCCTTTAACGGAAGAAACCTCCGACAGACCCCGGCTCTTGGTGGGTGGCCTTCTGCCTTGACTGGTTGGGGTGAGTGGATAGAGGAGAGAGAAAAGAAGAAAAGCAACAGGACACAACAAACAATCAGACGCTGGTCAGGTTGATGTGGCCGGTCACTGCTCATCAGAGACGTAGAGCTCCAGAGCCAGGGCAACCTGCAGAAAGGTACAGGGAGAGAGAGAGAGGACACACTACGGGAGAGAGGAGACACAAAGTTAGTGATGTGTAATGGTGGTGGATGACCTGCAACTTCTTACTTCTAAACTCTGACAAAACTGAAGCTATTGTGCTTGGGCCTGAAAACCTTAGAAATCTGCTGTCTAATCATATAGTTACTTTAGATGACATAGCTCTTGTCTCCAGTACTACTGTGAGGAACCTTGGAGTCATCTTTGATCAGGATATGTCCTTTAAATCACATATAAACCAAGTCTCTAGAACTGCCTTCTTTCACTTGCGCAAAATTGCAAAAATCAGGAGCATCCTGTCTCAAAGTGATGCTGAAAAACTGGTCCATGCATTGGTTACTTCCAGGCTGGACTACTGTAACTCTTTACTATCAGGATGTCCCAATTTGTCAGTACTCTGCCTCCAATTAATCCAAAATGCTGCAGCCATTGTAGGGAACTACTGGGACATCCTGATAGTAAAGAGTTACACTAGTCCAGCCTGGAAGTAACAAATGCATAGACCAGTTTTTTGCATCACTTTGAGACAGGATGCTCCTGATTTTTACAATATTACACAGGTGAAAGAAGGCAGTTCTAGAGACTTGGTTTATGTGTGATTTAAAGGACATATTCTGATCAAAGATGACTCCAAGGTTCCTCACAGTAGTACTGGAGGCAAGAGCTATGTCATCTAAAGTAACTATATGATTAGACAGCAGATTTCTAAGGTTTTCAGGCCCAAGCACAATAACTTCAGTTTTGTCAGAGTTTAGAAGTAAGAAGTTGCAGGTCATCCAGGCCTTTATGTCTTTAAGACATGCTTGAAGTTTGACCAGCTGATCTGATTCACAAAATAGATTTCTGGCTACTAGTAATCATTATCATAAGTCATTACCAAAGATGTAGGGAGGTGATGTGAGAGATGAGCTGAGCAGAAGATCAATGGCAGCTTTACACAGACAGCCATGTGAAGCTGTACTTACAGTTTTAGAGTAGCTTTTACAACAGACAGAGTAAGTAGACTGAATGTACTGAAGCAGTCACTAAGTACAGTATGTTGCCACCAAGCATATTTTTCCAAAAAAGGTCATCATCAGTACTTTCTTTTCTGTCCAGCACCCAAAGCAATGAACTTCTTGAATTAGCAAGAACAACCTTCCGCTTTATAAAATAATAAGTACTTTGTTTTAGCTTCACTTCAGGTTCTCCTCAGCGCTTTCTGTCCCGTTATGTAGTGGTGTGTATCCATGCTGATAGATTTGTATTAGGTCAACTTTTGAAATGCACTTAAAATGGAAGTAAGAAGACTAGTCAAAAAGTCTCCTCTGGTTACTTTCCACAGACCTCTCCTAGGAACTATTTTCTACCAAGGAAGTGGTTCCTATGAACTTGTGATTATTTCAGAGTAATGAGGACCTGTATCTTTTCAGGTCAAAGCAAGCAGGCAGTGAGCATGTGGTTAACAAGAAATTATTGTGCTAATAGCGATAGCCGAGGATATAAAGTACTATGGGTCCTATGGTGTGTTGTTGCATTGCAAGCAATGTGCTTGAACTGGAAGATCCTCAGGCAGTTTTTCTTTCTTCCCTCATGATTTCACTCCTTGTTGTGTTGATGACTTCTGACATTTGACATAAATAACACAGTGAAATATTTATTTGTTTATTTTGTCTGAAAAGTTATGACTGAGTTGCTGCAGCATAAAAACATAATTGATGTTACTTTGTTTATTCTCCTTTGCATTAGGTGCTGTCAAGTCAATTTTTAGTTGTATAGCTAAATCACAAATTTGCCTAAAGGGGCTTTGTAATGTAACAGCATACAAAATAATCCTTGAACAGACAAAAATGCTACTATACAGCCATTTTCTACTCCTGCCAAGTTATACAATTCAACAGAATCTGTCTCTTCCTCTACCAGGGGTGATCTACACCACTGATATGTTGGACCGTGAGACCAAGGACTCCTATTGGCTAACAGTATATGCCAGTGATCATGGTGTGGTTCCTCAGTTCGCCACCATCGAGGTGTTTGTCCAGGTGGAGGATGTTAATGACAATGCCCCGCTGACCTCAGAACCGATGTACCAGCCTTCAGTGCCTGAGAACTCTCCACGGGATGTTTCTGTGATTCAAATACATGCCCAGGATCCTGATGCCATAGCCTCCACCACCGCTGACAGGCTCACCTACCGCATAGTCAGCGGAAACCCGCAGAACTTCTTCACCATCAACACCCGCACTGGTGAGTAATGGTGTGTGTTAGTAGGGTGTCGTTCCACACATCTTTTTCTAACCCTAACCCTAGAGCCGTGACTGCTTAAAAAGAACAATAATAATCAGTAATAATGAGTAGTCACTACAGGTGGACATTGTACTGCAAGATCCATTTTGGCAGAAAACAAACATGATGTTTGTAAATATTTCCCTGATACACTCAGCATCAACATATTTGCAACTTGCCAGATCCATAAATTAACAACATATCCTCATTATATTAGTAGAAAACTGGTCCAATCCAATTATGTTTCTTTCCAAAGGTATTTGCAGTTTCAATTTAGTTGGATAGAAACATCACTTCTAGGAGACAGCTGAATAAGGGCAGTTACGCTGAGTGTAAACTGTGACTGAATTGCATTATAAATTAATAGCTAGTGTTTTACTGAGAGTAGTTTTCCAACTGCTTGTTGTTTACTTCCAGCTGAATATTTATTACTATGTCTCCTATTCGCACATGCAATTTTAAAAGTTCTTCATATCATAAATATTCAAGTAGTTTACAATATTTACAATAGGAGTACTCAGATGCCAAGTAGTTCAGGCGTTGACTACAAATTGCAACATCCTGGGTTTGCATCATTCCCCATCTCTTCCTCTCTACTTTTCCTGTCAGTTCTCAACTGTTCACTTTCTTTTACAACTAAGTGAATTCAATGTAGTCTGTCTCTCTTGAGGTTACCTAGCTCTGAGTTGCCTGTGTCATGAAGTTAGTTATCAGCTAGTTCTGTTAACCCTTGAAAGGGCACTCACTGAAATACTTGGAAATTCAAAGCTTTGACCATAGACCATTATATCTGGACCCAGAAGTGAAAGGATTAAACTGTGTCAGCATTACACGCTGGTTGTGAACACAAATGAATCCAGAGTGGAACTAGGTCTGCTCAGTCTCTTTTGTTTAGCCTATAGTCTCATATTATATGAATATGGTGAACAGAATAATAGAAACACATGTCAGTATTATGCAGAACAGTTCAACAGCAGCACAAACTACATCTACCAAAATGATCATGTAGTTGAATCAGCACCTCTAAACAGCCACTGAACATTATCACCGTCATGAAGGAGGATTTATTACAGGACTGTTTAAGCTGCATTAGGTTTAGCATGGTGTACTTAATGGGTAGTACTTGTAACTGGAGGTACCTGGTGCAGCACGAGTGTTGAGGGAAATGCTAGAATAATAGCCTCTGTATAGTGTGTATGTGTGTGTAGGAGTGAAGAGAAGGAGGAGAATGTGGATGCTGGGTGAAACAACAACAGCAGCTGCAGCAGCATTGTCTGGGAACATCAACACACACATCACATCTGTACGCTGCCTCACACACAGTTTGTTCTGCAGATAGGGCTCGTAGAGGAAAGAGGCAGAGATATAATTGGCTGCTACTAGATTTATCTTTTCTTTAGTCAAGATCCCTTTGCTTTGATTGAGGGTGGCTGTGGCTCAGGAGGTAGAGCAGGTCGTTTCCTAACCGAAGGATTAGCAGTTCGATTCCCAGCTTGTCCAGTCAACATGTCGAAGTGTCCTTAAGCAAGACACTGAACCCCCAGTTGCTCCCGGTGATGTCACCAGCGTGTGAATGCATGAGTGCTTGGGAGTAGGAATGGGTGAATGGCCGAATAATGTGAAAGCGCTTTGAGTGTACTGTAAAAAGCATAGAAAGGCACTATACAAGTATAAGACCATTTTGATAATACTCCACCCATTCATCTCAAGCACGCTTTCTCTTTTTATCTTTATTAAAGAAATCCTTCCACTTTGCTTTTTTGTATTGTCATCTTGTATCTCTTCCTGTTCTCCCTTTCTGTCACACTTTCATACGCTCGGTTTATCCTCCAACTTTCTTCTCTTGATACCTTTTTTTTCAACCACGTCTGTCTTGGTCTTGATGGCAGATGTTGAATATTTGATTTTGTTATTATGAAACACTGATAATGGACTACAGATCATCCGTAAGTCTGTAGCCTCTCTGATTTGCATGTTTTCATTAAGGCTATTTCCTCTGTCCATCTGCCTGATGGTGTCTTTTGCTCTGTATATTCCCTTATCATTTCGTCTCTAACTCTAACCTCATCTCTTTCTCTGTGGCACCCGCCAGTGCATGAAGCACAGCCCATTTAGCTGTTATGTTACTGAAGCTGCTGCAGTGGTTGACAGGTCAGGAGTCTGTTTTAAAGTGGCTTTTGTAATCTGTTTAGGACAAATTTTTGAAATGTGTTGTGCTTCATTTTAACCAGTACAGCTGCCTACTCACACTGCATAAGGCCCTGTGTGTCAGTCACACACTGTGTCAATCATACATTCCTGTTCTGCTGCTCTACAAGTGGCAGTGATGTGCTATGCAGCAATGCTCCAACAAAGACTCAAGAATTTTTATTGTCATTATGCATAGCACAACGAAATTTCTTATGGCAGCTCTTGGCTTAAAACACACATTATTTGCATAAATAACACAAAAACTGTGTAAGTCAATATAAAATATGAACAAAAAAATAAGAATGTATAGGTCCTAATCAGGTCAGCAGCATGTTAGCAGCAAAAGAATATAACATTATAAAGTGCAGCTCAGTGCAAATCTCAGTCTTTAGAAAGAGGTGTGAGCATGGGTGTGTGTCTGCAGAGGTCCAGTGT